TCACATTTGTTGCTATTCAAGGTCTTCATTGGGTGCAGGCGGGAATCGAACTCATGCGGAAGTGGCTTCAGATTCTCAGTGCTGCGCTTTAACCCGCTGCGCCACCAGGGAGGGCCAGGACCCCCCTTTTAAAGGGCTGTAGAGGTCTGGCGATTCCCCTCTCTCCTAGGTGACAGAGACTGTTAACAGTTTCAAGGGCTCCCTACTTCTAGCTGACTATGTCAAGTAATGTTAGTGACTTGCCATTTTTTATAGAGTACTTTTCCAGCTTATGTTCTTTCTCTTTAGATTTGGGAGCAAAAGCAAGTCCGCCACCAACCTGGGACGGCAAGGGAACTTTTTTGCTTCTCCAATGCTCAAGTGAAGTCACGTCTCCTGCTACTTCCTGACACTCACTAACTGCAAGGAAGGGCGCACCTGTACTCTGCACTGCAGCCTCTTGCATTCACTGCTACTTTTAGCATTCTTCAGGCTTTTAATCAAGTTCATTGTGCATGAGGGTTTTATTAAAGCTACATATAGCTCCCTCTTCTCAAGTAAAATAATATCAACACCTTGTGCTGTCTTTTTGGGAAACTTTTGGCTGGTAGATCTGAACAAGGGTAGAAGGGGAAGTATGAAATTCATTGCAGTTCTTTGGGGGCTCTTGGGAGTTCTGGGATAGCCTTCGGCTTAAAGCCAAGTGTTTATGGAATGACCTTTCTCTGAGGTAATGACAGAAACCCTGCCTCTTTGGTAAGATTGATTTGTTTCAGGGTGAAGGTAGGAGGGCAGGGAAGAGGAAGGTTTGGACAGAGGTTCATTATGAGAACTTGAAATTTCCTTTCTCCCATTATAAAGTGAGACTTCGACCCTCCATAAAATGTGTTAGTATGAGGATGGAAGTAGTGGTGGGAGTGTGCTTAGCTTTAATTTGGATTGATTAGGCCCCATAGTGTTCAGTGGCACAGCCTTGTACATGTGCTGCCACAAGTGTATTTATTGTTCATGGGCTTCCAAATGGACTTTGGCGTTGGGGTCAACGCCACTTTGTCCTAAAGCTGAGTTCATTCTGGGGCCTGACCACCAGCCCTCGGCCAGGGGAGCCTGCTAATAAAGATCAGTCTCCTATTAGGCTTCCTCACTAACATTAAGACTAGGCTGTAAGGAGAGGATTGGTAATATTTTGTGTGGCAAGAAAAATCACAGTCATTTTGCACTTTGGATGCTAAATCTAGATAACTGAGATTTTTCTTCTATTAAAATTATTTTCATTGTCTGTAAGAGTGCATTCTCCTAAGGAATGCTTCTGATCCAGTGACTCTTGTCTATAAAATACATATTAGGAAAAAATAAAAGAATTTTTTCAAAATGAATGGTGTGTGGTTTTCTTGTCCTGGAAGGTAACGTTACCTTCAATGCCTTTTTTAGAAAATATGTTTCCTTGAAGTGTTTTGAGCCTATTGCTGATCTCCCCCTACTCCCACTGGGCATTTGTTTCTCATTCTGGCTCTCACTGTTCAAATTGAAGTCCTAGATTTGTCCTATGGCTGTTAACCTCTTGTTGAAGAAACTACTGAAACACAAACCAAACTTTTTAAACAAGTCTTCAGGACCAAAATATTACAGATTAAAAACAAGAAAAACTGATGCTGGCTGGCTGGCTGGTTGCTGGGAACATCCTTCACTGCTGGAAGTGACTCTGGAGTGAGCTGGGGTGATTAACTGAGGGCACCTGCACTCAGAACTCTGAAGCTGCTGAACAGAATGTATCTGAGATTGAACGTAAACAGTTGCAGACTTAATATGTAGCCGAGGAGAGAGGCGGCAGCTCCTGGCTCTGTCCCAGGAGGTGGCCTCTCTCACAGCAGGGCCCATCTGCCTCAGCAAATTGAGAGGGTCCCATCTTCCCCCCCCGCCTGGACGTGCGCACGCCTGCTAGGTTTTATTTTTTTAACATTGTCCTAGATGCCATCTCTTCTTATATCTCTACATGCCTCGTTTTGGCCTGGTTCCATATTTGCTGTTCGGTAGTATCTCCCCAAGGTGAATTTTAAGTCGCTAATGTAGAGGAAGTAAATGGATTATATAATGTTAGTGAAGGCAAGACTACTCTGTGCAGGAACTGATGGCCTATTAACAAAAAAGGAAATAGTCCTGTGTGTCAAATGTTGGCAGACAGTTGCTGGTTTTTGGACTAGGCCAAGAGACCTTAGCCATGAAAATAATTCTGATATTAGCTAAGGGGAATCTGTACCCACCTTCAGCATTTTTAACAGTGTGTCATATGTGAAACAGCTTGACTTTCAAGGACTGTTTTTTTTTTTTAAGATTGATTTATTAATGGTCTGTACTGGGGTACAGGCCAGAGGTGCAAGGGGGTGAGAGGATTCACCAGAGAGAGTGGGGAGCAGAACAGGCAGAGTGACTAAAATACACTGCTGAGGGGAGCAGTGGGCAGGTCAGGAGCAGTCTGCCCCGCCATGTGGGTCAGCTCCCTGGTGGGAGACGGAACTTGTACCACAGTGGCCTAGAATAGCTTCACAGGACTGGGCTTTAACCCGTTGTGCCACCAGGGAGGGCCCTGAGGGACTTTCCTCATTACACTTGGTGGCAGAGCTATGGACAGGGCCAGTGCTTTGGAGTGGCTGTCCCCCATCTGCTGTACATCGCCTTTCTGGTGCTGCCTCTTACTCCTCCTTTAATGTAGTTTAACTTTATTATCCCACTTGCTAGCAACCAGATTCTTTACATATATTATCCATCAATCTATGTAAGACTCCTAAATTTTATGCTTGGAATTTTTGCAAGGTGTGTTTGTTCAGCAGCAATTTGTGTTTATTATTGGGTGTTTAACAATTTTTCCTTAAGGGGTAGAAATTGAAGGCAAGAAGGCATCTGAGTTCCACTTGGAGAGGACTGTAGGTGCTCAGTTGATTTATTACAGCAGTAGTGGTCATTTTGGGCTGTGAGTTGAACCTGTGGACAGCACAAAGTTATAAGAAGAGCCGAGTGGGTGCAGGCAGCCAAGAAGTCAGGCTTGCTGTTGTCCTTTGTTTCAGTGGGGCTCCCCGCCCACCTCAAGCTTCAAGCTTCAGATAGATGCATATGGTATGTCAGCAGGCCAAGAGCTGCGGAGAGGCGGGGGTGACACGGGCTCTGGTGTTCAAGTCAGCACAGCCTGCACAGTAGGTGCTCATCCATGTCTTTGATGATAGTGATGGCGGAGACTCAAATTCCAGCCACTTCCCCACCTCCACCTCTAGTGGGGACGAGCTTCTAAGCACGAGTTAGGGTTTGGAGAGAGGCCACTTAACCTGAGACCTTGGTAACTAATTTTTTATCTGTTCTCTCTACCTGGTATATTTTGTAAATAAGTAAAGGCCTCAGGCCAGAAGGGCCCTTACTTGGCTAATATATTAGTCTGTATTTGTTGATGGTTCTGAGTCTGTATTTGTTGATGGCTTCCATTCAGGAAGTTAGGCAAAAGACAGCTTGGCTTCACCAGGAATGACCTTGTAAGTGAGGGACCTTGTCCTCAGCAGTCATGTGGATTGAGAAAGGAGGGAGGCTACTTTTCAGGGGCTTCTATAGCTGCCAGCTTCATTTAGTTACATGTTTTTATACAGCCTTTCTCTCATATCTAAGTCAGGCACCGCCTGTATGCAAGGCTCTGGCACATGTAGTTAGACTTCTAATAGAGCACTCACCAGCTAGGTGAGTGCAGGGGTTAAAATCTCAGCACTATGTGAGTTCCACAGCCAGGTAAGGTGAGTTCCATCCCCCAGCCAGGGAGCTAGCCCACATGGCGCTGTAGACTTCTGACCTGCCCTGCTCCCCTCAGCAGTGTATCTCAGTCAATTTGCTTGTTCTGCTCCCTACTCTTGGGTGAATCCTCTCACCTCCCCCACACCTCTGTATGTTTAAATTAAAAAATCTTTTTTAAGAAAAGCACTGTTAGCATCTTCTCTGGTCATCGTGAAGATGGAATTAAGAGCTGAGTCCCCTTAAACTCAGTAGAAAATGTAATGTGGTAATTGGTAGTCTTACAAAGTGCTTTCATTAATCCTGTACTTACCACACCCATGTGGTGAGCAGGCTACCTGATGTGATCCCAACTGACAAATTTGGAGAGGCGATTTGGCTCAAATTCCCACAAACTATATGTTAATTAGGATCTGGGGATGACAGCTCTGACTCTGGAGGTCAGCGGTGGTGCTTGCTATTTCAGGCCCACTACTGTCAGGCGCTATGCCGATGTGGTTATGTACAATCAAGGTCCAACGAGCAGATGGACGCAGACTGCTAGGAAAAGCATCTGCGAACAGGAAATGATTTAAAGGTTGGCGTTATATGGTCGACTTTGAGACCCAGGCTTGGGGACCCAGGGCTGTTTTCTGTGCAAGGCGGAGGATGAGCCGGTATGAGTGCTTAAGGTCGCTCCCAGTGGGAGTCTGTTCTCGCCACTCATGTGCATCTTGTGTGCTTCGAAGCTCAGAGCCAAGAACAGCCAAGTCTCTGAGCCAAAGCCATCAGCCTGCTTCTAGAAACGTGTCAGCGGATTAGCTTATTGGCTTTCCCCCTGAGTGGCATTAGCTCTCACCCCGTCTCATGTTCACCATCTGGCTTTGAGTAAGAAGTTTTCGAGTGATCTCTCTTCAGCAGCCTGCTCTATGCCAAGGCTTTCTGATGGCTGTTTAGCTTTCTCCCTCATCAACCCCAGGGTCCAGTGCTCTCCTGGAAGACGTAGTCACTGTCCACATGTATGCACCCCTGGGGTAGAAGAATACAGACCTCAGAAAGTAGCTCAAAGGAGAATGAGTCTCCTTGGTTAGTAGCCTAAACTGTTGTTGACTCGTGTGGATCTGTCCTTAGGTGAGTTTTAAAATGGAGTCACACCTGCCAGGGAGAGCGCTCTTTCTGCCTGTAAGGTGATGCAGTTTGTCCAGATTGTAGTAGATATGAAGGGGCTGGGATTCTCCTTCCTCAGAAAGCAACCCTTGGGGGTGCAGGTGCTTAACTGAACCATGAACCACCACCCCACCACCCCCCCAGCCCCCCAGGAGCTGGCTATTCTCTCCTAGGTTAATATACATTGACTGGGGCTAAACGCCTGACGCTCCTGGACAGAGGCCAGCCCCTCAGCAGAGCAGCCGCACTGTGGAGATACAGCTGCTGGCATTAAAGGGCTAAGCCCTTTCCAGCTGCTTTGCTTTAACGGGAACTGCCTGCACTCTGCAGCTTAACGGAGCTGTTTTAGCCCGATTAGGAGGAAATGACTAATCTCGGCATCTTCTTGCCGCACTGTCCTGGAGGCTCTGGAAAAGATAACCCGGCAGGGTGGGAAGTGGCTGGATAAATGGTGTTGGAGTGCTAGGTGATCTCAAAAATTGTGAGCCTGACTTGGTGTGGTTTGTGTTTTGCCTCTGAAAAAAGTGGGGTTCGATTCAGTAGATTCCCTGGCACTAAGGAAAAGGGGATAGAAAGACCAGAATAGCAAAAGATGTGCAGAGGAGTTGATCGCTCATGAGAGCTAGTAGCATTCGTCCCCTTGGGAGGAAGAAGACAGGACGCTGAGGTGGTCGCCCTTGGGCCTTCCATTCCCTTCTTTAAACACAGGCAAAAGAAGCCAAGATTTGAAGGAGAAATGATTATTTCATTGAACCTAAGAAGCACTTCAAGAACAACTTTTCTACTATTTTTGAGAATTGGAATATCTTGTCATCAGGGGCATCTTACAAGCATGATGCATGCAGTGTTTCCCTCTCTTAGCGGGTCACAGAACAGCAGCGCATCTTACAGTCAGTGTTGTTTGTGGGAGAGGCCTGTTGGATGGACAAGGCGGGGGGGCCAGGGTCCTGCTGCTTAGCTATCGTCAGAAGCCACTCTGAAGGAAGCTGCGGGGGCCGGAAAAGCAAGTCCGAGCTGCAGGACAGCCTATCTGGCACAAAGAGGCAGGCCAGCAACGGGCAGGAGAGGATGCAGAGCTGTCCCAGTGCTGACTGACGCCAGAGCCATTACATGTGACCGGAGTCAAGGAAGGGGGAAGACAAGCCACTGTGAGTCAGTGAGGCCATGACCAAAACAACAGTACCCCTCTGGGGGGTTTCTAAAGTCACAATATAGAACCGAGACATTTGAGGTGCTTTTCCTCTCCAAATGAGAGATTAGAGGTATTAGACTCTTTGGGCAGGGAGCTGGGAGTGTTTACTGCAATCCTTTGTCTAATTTGCTCACCAAATGCAGAATACCAGAGGGAGTCTGTCTTCCCTGGAAACTGAGTGGCCCCAGTTTGGGAACCAATAAAAAAATGGACAGATTGTAAAGTTACGGAACCTGTTGCCCTGCGAAGAGAAGTAGACTGAAAGTATCGTTTGCTCACTTCGTCCTACTAGGGTGAGAGAGGTGTTGAAATAAACGCTAAGGTAATATATTCATCGCTGAGACAGAGGCACGCGGCTGCTGCAGGCGCTCAGAGAGGAAGTCGGAGACTCTGCGAGCCTCGGAGGTGACCACCCTGAAGCTGGACTCCAGGGTGAGCGGCCGCCTCGTGAGGGTCCAGGAGAAGAGTCCGGCCGAGGAAGCACCTCCAGCCTGTTGCTCTGGAACAGGCACCCCGGCTCCAACACCTCTGCCATCCTGGCCTTTCCCCTAGCCACAGCGGGCACCTGGCCTGGCTGGGCCTGTGCCATTTGCCCTTGGGGGGGGGGGAGGTGGGGTTGCTGGTTCCTGGCCGCCACCAGGCTGGTAATCGCTTCCCCCTTATCTTGCTTAATCAAAGCTCTGAGACACTGCTTGCATTCCCCCCTTTTCTGCCCATTAACTGCAGCCTATTAATTAGTGCTGCTGGACTCCCCACTCTCATAAGCCCCTAACCACGGCTCCCCTCTCCAACTTCTGCTAGATTTGTGACTGCTCTTCCGTGGCTGCCCCTCCTGAGAAGTGATTACAGATCTTGGCGGTGTGGACCCCTGCCCAGCAGCCCCAGCGGCTGCTGCCTGGCCGGATGCTGCCTCCTGATTAGCCTTTAACTTCTCTCCCCCACCTTTGCTCATGTCGCCCCCCCACCCCACCCACATCGCTGAGGCTTGACATCAGCTGTCTGTCAACATCTCTGGGGGGCTGGGGGGGAGCCCTCACACCTGTTCCTGGCTCTCAGCCCTGCTTCAGGTCACGAACAACACTGGTCCACAGGCTTATCAGAGCTTCCCATCAAACCCGCCAGCTGGTTCCAGGCCACTTGCCCCAGAGCCCAGAGAGCTCAGCCCTTGGGTGTGCTGCCTCAGACCCTCAGCTCATGCCTACTCCCCTTCGGCTTACTTGGCTTGTATGAACTTCCGCCTCCGCCAAGTCCTTTTCACCCCTTTATCATGCTCTCCTTACCCTCATGGCCTAATTCTCCCCAAAACCAGCTCCCAGCCATGAGCACCCAGCACTCTGCTTCTTTTCTGTTCTGAAGAGACCCTTATTTCTTGCTTGGGTTTGGGTCTTGACTCTTCTTTGCCCTGGGATCCTCTCACTCCCAGGCACACTGCACACCTGCCTGGCTCCAGCTCAGCCTGCGGCGTGGGGAAGGAGTGAGCCCTTCTTTAGTTACGGCTGACCGCGGCAGGGGCAGTCCAGAGCCGCTGGCCCAGGGTGAGCCGCCGGCCAGCCGGCCGAGGTGTACGCAGGCCAGGTAGTGTGTGTCCTCTTGTTCTAGTGTGTCCTGACAGCACAGCTTTAAAGGGCTACTTGTAGCTCCTACCCCGTGGGGAGACCCCCACACTCCAGCTGAGCAAAGTGAGACTCAGGATCCAGAACTTGCTCAAGTTCAGGCAATTTGAACTCTTTTAACCCCTATTTTACCTTTATGTGGTCCCCCCAGCCCACTGCCCCCCAACCTTGGTGCACAGACTCTTTTAGGTCAAAGTGATTTTCTTTGGAAAGTGAAAGTGCCTGGGTCATTGTCTTGCTCCTCCTTGCCTCTCCATCTGAGAAACCCAAATACGATCCAGACTCTGGCCTTTTCGTGGGTGCTCCGCCTTGTGCAGTGTGGGCCCAGATTAGAACTGGCCTCCACCCCGTGATAGCAGTGCACAGAGGGGTTTCCTGCCAGCCAATGGGGGAGCCGAGTCTCGGCTGTGCTGGCATCATCTGCTCCTGCTAAGACAATCATCAACATAAAAGGCTAATTGTATTAATCACCAAGGCACCCGTCCTGGTCCCCCGCCCTTCCTGGAGAATTATGAATTGCAATTGCAGATGGCTCTGCTGATTGAAGGCAGCGCTCAGCAGGGAGAAAGGCCAGATCAGATTACACACCATTAATTAAAAACTTCCCCTGACAAATGGGGTCTGCCTAGGCTGGCTCCCTCCTCCCGGGCACCAGCCCCCCACTCCGGCCCAGGGGCAGTGAGCAAGCAGCCTGCAGCCCCTGGCTGGAACAGCTGAGTCTTCCCTCTTCCAAGGCCAGCCCTCCCCTCAGCCAAACAGATGGCTGGCTGTCCTACTAACGGCTCCGAGAAGGAGAAGCTGACCTTTGCTTTCTCGCTCCTGTCTCACTCTGGACGCTCTTCAGAGTCTAACCTCATTCCTCACTTTGGAGAAGTGCGTCTCTGCTGGCTCTAGTCTATTCTGACAGCACAGCTTTAAAGGGCTAGTTGTGAGAATAGCCCCCAGTTTTCTCTTGAGTCCACCGCCCTGACCTTTTCGGCCTAGGAAGTTTCTGGGACAGGGGGTACATCATCTGATCTGGAGGTTCAAGTGTGGTGGTGCCCGTCTGCCGGGTCTGCCGGCTACCCCACCTGCCAGGGGAGGCTTCTCAGCTCCTTCACGTCACCGTCACCGTCACCAAGGGTCGTTTGGAGCTGTAACTCCTGAATTCTTTTGATCAATGACTACCTCCCGGCCCTCCCCAGCGGCCCAGGCTCACTCATTCATCAAACTTTATTGAGCACACAGTGTGTGCTTGGCTCTGGGGAAGAGGAGAGAAACTGAAGGAGCCGAAGATCCCACTGCAGGGGCCCTGCCCCAGCCCCCCACAACCTTCCAGGTCCCGCTTCCTTCCTTCTCACTGTAGCTGTTGGAACCCCTGGAGCTCTATTTTGGAAAATTCTAAGCTAGGAGCTGGGGAGACCTTAGGGGGCTGTGGTGCTGAATGGGTGACCTTTAGCAAGCCAGTCACACCACACACACACACACACACACACACACACACACACACACACACAGCTGTCCTTGTGCATAAAAGGGCACGAGAAGCCCTGGGGTCCGAGGGTCTGCGATGGATGAGTGGGGTCCAGCTTGGAGCAACGTGGGCAACACAGAGCGCTGCCTGGCGGCAGGAGCCCCGACGTCCCACAGCTCGCAGGCACCCCACCAGCCCTGGAGGACGAGGGTCCCTGCCCCAGACCGTCTGGAGACATCTTAGAAAAGGACCTGTCTTTTTTATGGACCTGTTTGGGTGCTGTATCGCTGGGTGCCATGGCGATGGATGCCATAGAGATGAGAGTACTGACTTTTTTTGGGTTGCCTCTTCATTCCAGGGTCCCTCTCAACCCCGCCCCAGGCCCAGGCTCCCTTTACAGACCACTCACACAGCCTGTCTGCACCTGGGGGCGCAGCCAGCAGCCAGTAGAGCCGAGGGAATGTGGAGAAGCTACTCTCCTTCCCCTTCCCCTCAGCCATCGCCCTCTTCCTTGTCCCCTCCCGCCTCCATTACCAACAGCAATTGTGTTCAAACCCAATAATTACAGTAACAGCGACAATAATCATTTATTGGGCTTGTTTTTCTGTCATTTTAACTCCCAAAGACATTTTCCAGTCTCTTGCTTGTTGTCACAGCAGCCCCTGCTGTGCAAGGGTTGCACCCATTTTGCAGCTGGGAAATGCAGCGAGGACCCCAAGTTGAGGGCAGAGTGCAGCCTCTGGCTGGAGATGCTAACAAGCCCCCTGAGACATCGGTCGCCATTCCTGAGTTCCTCCCATTCTTGGGGCTTACGCTACAGCTTTTTGGGGATCCCAGCAGAGCTGGAGAGGGCTTCTGCCCAGTCACAGCGGGTGGCTGGATGGGGACTCTGCCCTCAGGATTGTTCTGTGGACAGGGCTGTGGTGGACAGGGAGCGAGTGGACCCTGGGAGACCCTGCACTGGATAGGGGTGTCCCATGGCACCTTCCATGCCTGGACCTCTCCCAACACAAGCACACAGCCAGCCCAAGAAAAGACTCTGTGTGCCCACTCTTCCCAAGGGTGGAGCCTCTCCTGAGACACCAGAGCGTGGAATGGAGGCTCACTAGGGGGGCCGTCTCTGTCCTCAGGAAGCCCGGTCTGAGTGGGGGGGGGCCGCAGTCTCCAAAACACACTCCCAACCAGAGACCCCCTCAGACAAAGTCGGAGTCTGTCGCAGGGTCTGAGTCTTCTGGGGCGTCACCTCCTCCCCAAGGGTGGGGTGAAGAGTTGGGGTGCCCTGAGGTCCCTCTAGTCCCCAGTAGCTAAGCAGAATGGATGTCTGGGCTTCAGTTTCCCTTTCTCTGAGACATGGGATCTGGGGGCCCGGGAAGCCCACTGGGGACCAGGCGGGGGAGCAGAAGGGAACCAGGAATCCCCTTGCACCCCCCTGCTCTGTCCGATGAAGAGACGCGGAGGAGGGAACTGGACTGTTTGTTTCCCAGCTTCCTCCTGCCTAGAAGTGCTAGGCAGGCATGAAGACGGTATCCCTCACCACCATGTGGTGAGCCCCCCCCCCCCACCCCCCCCGCTGGCCCGCACCACAGGACACCCCCCAGGGCTGAGGGTGGCTCTGTTCTACGCCATCTGATGCACACTCTCCATTTCCATATCTCCTGAGGTAGACTGGGGTTCTTCCTTCGGGGCTGCCACCCCTCCCACTTTCTCCACCTCGGCAGTGCCCGTGAAGATGGCCAGTCGCTGGGCCAGGGTCTTGGTGTCCGGGAACAGGATAAAGTTGTAGATCACTGAACCCAGGATGGCTCCTGTCAGAGGTCCCACCCAGAAGATCTGAGGAGACAGAGAGAGTGGTGAACTGGCAGGATCCTGGAGTGGCTTTGGGCTCCACCTGTCTCAGGTCCCCAGAGCTGTCTCCAAGGTGCTCAGCTGGAGAAGCTCCCGCCTGTCCCCAGGGCCTCACAGGCTTCCCAGGACTCCGGCCTCCCTCCTCCCTCTGGCTTCCCTGCTCCAGCCAGAGCCCAGAACAGCTCCTGCTGTTCCTGTCTGCTGGGGGGTGTGTGTGTGCGTGCGCGCGTGTGTGTCTATTTCTGCTTGTCTTTCTTTATCTAAGTCTGGAAACTGGTCCAGTCAGAGAAAGCGGGTAAAGGAGGAGCTTGGGCTTGAGGCGGGCGCCAAGGCTGCAGTCCCTGCCCTGGCCTATTTCTTGCCGGTCCACTGGGTGCCCTGAGTTACTGAGGCTGGAAAGCAGGAAGCACAAGCCAGGACACTGGGCCTGGTCCAAGAGGGTCACTGCTGGTGAAGTCCTTAATGCCCCCCTCTCACGTCCTATAGCTGCCAGCGGAGGACCTCACCCAGTGCACCGCGAACTTCCCCACGATGACGGCAGGACCGAAGGAGCGTGCTGGGTTCATGGAGCAGCCGGTGAAGTAGATCTGAGGCCGAGTGCAGTCCAGGTGAGGAGGCTCGAGCAAGCCTGGGGGGCAGCCCTCTGCCCCGCCTCAGACATCTGGCCCCTGCTTTAGCAGGGACCCGGGAAGGGACACCGCTTGGCCCTCAGGGACCCTGCAGCCTCCCCAGGGAGGGACCACCGCAGGCCTGTGCACGGTGTCCCCTCTGTCCCTTACCCCGATGAGGTGGCCCAGTGCCACAGAGATCCCAATCATGGTGGCCGGGGAGCCTGCGGCCTGGCGGCTGTCAGTGGAAGCAAAGACACAGAGCACCAGCTGCAGGGTCAGAACCAGCTCCACTGCCACCGCCTGGCTGGTCGAGACGCTGTTCCGGACCTGGGCCAGGGGTTACAGCGGAGCTAACACGCTCTGCCCAGAGCGTCTGTTTCCTCACTGAGCACTGACCTCACCACGACCAGCTCTGGGGCTAGAGACTCACACCGGGCACAGCTATGTGGCCGGTTCAGGCCCGTCCCCAGGAGCCTGGCACCCCTGCTACCCCAGTGGTTAGTTGGGCCCAGAGGCTCAGGAGGAGGCCGAGGCCCAGGACTGGGGGGCGGGCAGGCTCTGGAAATGCTTGTGAGTGGACAGGGAGGAGATGGAGGGTGGGTGTGGGAGAGCTTGGGAATTAGGGGGAGCAGAGATGGGAATCTGGGAGGGAAGTGAGAAAGCCTCGGGGTCTGCAGAGGGACGGAGAACAGAAGAGCGGGGGACGTGGGGTACACTTGGGGAGAAGAGGTTGAGATGCTGCAGGGTTCACCTCCATGGCCCCCGTCTTCCCATGCTGCCCCCACTCTTGAAGGCCTGGGCCCTCCTGACCTCTGTGGCTTGGTGCACCCCCTTTCACCCCTGCTTTGGGCCGCCTTCCTGCGCTGCCGAGTCCAGTCTCAGCCCCGCACCAGCTTGGCCCTCCACCCTTACCAGCCCTGGGGCGCCCCCTTCCACACTGCACCTTGCACCTACCACATTGACCCCGAGGGTCTCTCGCATGTCTCCTGGTGTGACCCCGTAAAGCAGAGCAGCGCCCACAATGGCCCCTGCCAGCTGGGCAGCTACATAGGCCACAGCCCGGGGCAGGGAGATTTGGGAGCCCACGAGGAAGGCCAGCGTCACGGCGGGGTTGACGTGGGCCCCGCTGGCCTTCCAGGTAACCTGCACAGCCATGGCTGTGGCCAGGTTGAAGGTGATGGCAATCTGCAACACAGAGGGGAGCACCGAGGGCCAGCGCAGAGCTGAGCCCACGCCAAAGAACACGTAGAGCCCCGTGGCCAGGAACTCTGCGAACAGCGCCTTGCTGATGGTGGAGCACAGCTGGCCCAGGAGCCGCCAGGCCCCGCCGCGCCGGCCTGGCTCCATTGTGTGGAGTGCCACTGCCCCTCCGCTCGGGGCTCTCTGCTTCTGCTGCTCCCGATCTCTGACTCCTCTGGTCCCTGTGTCCAGTTGCTGTGGCTGCCCGCCCGCAGCTCCCCACACAGTGCCGTCCCAGCAGAGTGCCAGCTGGAAAGCAGGCTGCTACACTTTAGTGCACAGGGCGGGTGGTTCTCACGTGTCTGCTCCGCCCTGAGCTCACCTGATGGGGCGGGTGGTGGGGAGGCAGCCTGGGCACTGAACTGGAACCTGCTAGAAGGTTTCCAAGCCAGGCAAACTGACGGCTGTGGGCAGAGGCCCCAGCTGAGGGCTGCAGGTATAGGAGTGGCATCTGTTCTGGGGTGCTCGTATCCCCCATATTGGCTTAGATGAAGCAAGCTCACTCAGATCCCCAAGTTCAAATCCTGGGAATTTCCAAGCGGCTCCGGGGCTCCTGCCCACTCTGCCTGCAGCCTCTGCTCTTGCTATTTTACACCCAGTAAAAGCCAGTATGACAGGGGGTGTCCTCTCTGTTCCCATTAAAGCTGCACTCGCAGAAGGTGGGCGGCTGGAGTCAGCTGAGGACAGGCGTCTGCATGGGAGCAGATGGGGCAAATGGCCGCAGGTTTCTTCCACACTGACCATGCGTGGCAGAGGGCATCCCTGCTGCCCGCCAGTGCCGGCCAGGAACCTCACTGCTCTTCACTCTCTCCATGCCATTTCTGCCTCCTTCTAGGCTGTTCTGCTCAGGAGCCCAAACAGTTTGTCCCCCAACTCACCCACAACCTCCAAGCTCCCTTCTGGGCTCCAGCAGGACACCAAAGTATTTTCTCCAACAAAGAAGAACCTGCCAGGCTGTTAGAGTAATAGCCCGGCCTTGTCCCCACCTCTGCTGCCCAGAGCAAGTCCCAGGCCACACCTGTGTGCCCACTAGGTCTCCCCTGGCCCCTCAAGCACCGCCTGTCTCAAAATGAGGTCTTCCTACCTCCATCCCCCGAACTCACGCTGTATCCTCGGGTTGGGTCGATGGTACCCTGGAAGCACCCCACCCTTCGCCCCCTCCTGACCCCATCCTGTGCGGAAGTCAAGTCCCACTGACTTTCCGCCCCGTGGCTGTTAGCCGAGGCCCTTCCTGGCCCCTGCTGGCCCGCAGCCTTTTCTATCCCTGCCTGCTCCCTGCTCCATCAGCCGCCCCACGCAGCAGCCGCAGCCAGGCGCTGGTCTGTCCACAGTGCAGATCTGATCCTTCTTGCCCATGTCCGCCCGCGCCTTGGCTCCTCCTTGATCCTCTGTCCTCAGCCGATGGCCAGTGATTCTGGAACACTCGATGGCAGTCCTTGGAGGGCCCTTCCGTGTCCCACACTGGGGTACACCAAGCCCACCCCTCAGGCTCAGCTTCCACGCACGTCCTCCTGTTCTGGGCCAGGACCCCTCTCTGTTCCCACCGCACCTGAGCGTTTTTGTGTGCTCCGGTCCCCATAGGGTGTCATGCTGCTGTTCGTGTGATGGGAGTTTTTAGGGGGCAGGAACAGCTTCAGTTTCCTCGTAGCCTCTTCCATGGGATCAGCAGGAGTACAACATACACACGGAACCAAGGAATGAATCAAAGTTTCTGACCTGGAGGCAGATGACTCCACCTCTATTCTTTCGCCTTATGCCTGTCTTGCCTACGCCCGGGTCACCTGAAATCTTCAAGTAAAACCCTGCAGCTCTGACGGCAAACCCTCCCGCCAAGCAGCCTCCCCGTCTCGGCCCAGCCCACTGCCTTCTCCCTTTCAGCTGTCCAGTGGGCCCCTGGCCTCTCCGTGCACTGGCCTGGCTCCCGTGGCCTCCCCCCACCGCCTCCTCATTTTCATTCTCCCCCAGACCCCTCTGCCTCCAGCTGTGCCTGAGCTGCTGGGGAAACTCGCCCAGCTGTGCAGACACAGCCAGTGCCCAGGCCCCGCCTCGCCTGGCAGGGGCTCAGCTCTGCTCAGCGATCCTTTCCCTCCTCACAGCACGCCGCAGGCTGCCCACCCTCCAGCCTTCCCCACTCACGCTGCCTTTCTCCCCGAGGCCTCCTCCCTCTCCTGGCTTCTCTCTAAGGTGCCTGGGCAAGTGATGAAGTGTGGAGAGGCTGGGCTCCGGTCAAGTTTCCAGGCACCTACCCACTGCCCTAAAACTTCTACCCCCACCCAGCTTCTGAAATTGCTCCGGCCACAGCAGCAGCCACGGCTCTTCAGCCCTCATCTCCCTGACTCTGGCAGGTGCACGCAGAGCCTCTCCCTGGCTGCGGGGCGCTGTCACCCCGGCTCTCCTTCCTTCCACGGTGCCTCTTCCACTCCCCTGGGAGGCGGTCTTGCCCGCTCCCATGGCGTCATCCTCCCTCAGTAGAAGTGCCCAGCAGCCTGAGGCCTGTCTGTGGCCTCCTTACTGCCCACAGACTCACAACCAGGTCTCCAGCCCCCGTTTCTCTCTGACCTTCAGACCCTGGCGACCTTGCCCTGCCCCCAGGCGTCTCCAGCCTGTTCTCTCTCTGCTGAGCCGGCCAGCCTTCACCCAGCAGCCGGAACTTGGGCATCATTCAGATTCCATGCCCTCCCTCCATGCACCCAGGGGAGCAGCTTCCTGTAGTTCCTTCTCATATCTGAGTCTCTTCCCGTCTCCGCCAGCCACTGGTCCTGCTCAGTCCTTCTCACCACCAGGGTGCTGCATTAACCTCCTAGCTGGTCTCTCAGACTGCCCCTTGCCCCCCCACGCCCCTCTCCCCCCTTAGAGCGCCTTCTAACTGCAAGCCAGGTCATCTTGTCTGCTCAGAACCTCCCTAGTGCCTCAGCAGGGGCTGGGGAGCCAGTCTGGACTCTGCGGGGGCGAGGAAGGTGCTCCCCACTGCAAGCCTCCCTTTTACCCATCAAGTGGAACGTTTATCGTTTTCCCAAATGGATTCCGAGCCCTCTGCATGCTGAGTTGGGAGTGCCTTTCCTTCTTGTCTCTCTCCCAAACCTGCTCAAGTCCAGTTCATCCAGAAGGCCTGCCCTGGTCCCCTCTCCAGGGGAGCCAGACTTCACAGAGAAGGTGGGCTCCAGCAGAGCCCGGGGCTTCGGCCTCCTCAGGGCTCTGCCGCTGCACGCACACGCCTGGGCTGGTCTGTAGAAAGGACCCTTCATGGACGCTCCCAGAATGAAGTGGCGTAGCTGTGGGACACAGTGAGGGCTGCTGGCCGCTGGGCTCGCCTCCCCCTCCAGAGGGTCAGCGGCTCAGAGCGTGCAGTGGTCCTGTTTGGGGCAGAGCCTCTTGGGGACAAGTATTTGGCCTGGGACAAGGTCATTCGTGCCTGTAGGGCAGGTGGGCATTGGCCAAGGTAGCTGCCGCTCCATCCAGCACCTTCTTGCCCCAACCAGTGCTGCACTCAAGTGCCAAGTTTTGAGGTCACTTATTGCTTAGAAGCATTTTGCCAAAGCCCCACACCTGACTGCCTGCAGTCACCTGTCAGTGCTGTGTATGCTCTTTTTTTTTTAAAAAAAAGGTTGATTTATTTATGCATACAAGAATGGGGGTTCAGGCAGAAGTATGGGGAGTAGGTAGTGAGAAGATCCACCAAAGACAGAGTGGGGAGCAGAACAGGCTGATGTACTGAAACATACTGCTGAGGGGAGCAGCGGGCGGGTTAGGAGAGGGCTGCTGTGCCCTGTGGGTCAGCTCCCTGGCCAGGGATGGAACTTGTGCTGCAGTGGTTGTGGGCAGGACAGCTTCATAGTGCTGAGACTTAACCCCTTGTGCCACCAGGGAGGCCCAGTTGCGTACTCTTGAGCCAGGAGGGCTCCCTGGACAGGGACAGGGACAAGACGGGAATCAAGGACAAACATCCTGTGAGAACTTTACTGTTCCCACAGACTGGCAAACAAGAGTCGGCAAACAAACCTGAGGGCATTGAGCCTGGACACCTGCTGCCATAAATGTCCTTGGCTCATTGTTTCCCCTCTTTGCTAGTTTCCCCCAGCCTGGGCAATTTGGAGCTATTTTCCCACTGTTAGTCAAGTTGGCTGCTCTGGGAAAAAGGAGGAGTTTAGGGGTCCAGAAGAAAAAGGGAGCCAGGCTCTGAGACCAGACTGGGTCACCCTGCAGCTGTGGGCACACGGCCTCCAGGACATGTTCCCCTGGACAGTCAGGAGGCCTCTGGGCCCTCCGAGCTGCAGCAGTCCTCACAACTGACAGCAATAAGTGGGCTCACGCCAAGGCCACTGTCCTTCCGTTTCCAGTCTTTTCGTTCCTTTGTTCTCAAACCCAGTTTCAAAACCTGCAGAGACCCCACAGCCCCAGTGCCTTTCCATCTCTCGTGCCCACTGCCCCTTTTCTTGCTCATTTGCAGAAAAAGAGGACCCCTGGGACTGTGCGCCTGTCTGCGACACTCCCACCTCTCGAGTCTCTGCGCCCCCGCACCGGGCTGGGCACCCCTGTGGGGGGGTGTGAGTGAGCTTCTGTGACCGGCTGTGTCTGGGCTTAGGGGGGTCCAGGGAGCAAGAGGGAGGGGAGAGAGGGAGGTATAGGGAGAGGAGAGGAAGGGGGGCCAAAAATGGCAAAGGGAGGGACTCCGGATAGTTTCCCTCACGTCACCCGAGGCCCAGAGAATGTGGACGTGCATAGCCCACCCACACCTGACAGGAAGCTGTCCGGAGCAGTCCTGTGAGAGAAAATGGGGGAGGTTGCTGCGGCTCCGCGCACACTCGGAGTGAGGCGTCTTTGCCGAGAAGACGCAGCCCCTGGGTCCAGCTGAAGGTCGGCGGCGGCGTGCAGGGTTAGCG